ACTGTGAGTTCTTTGACCTCACGGCCAGTGTCTTACTCATTTTTTCCCTATTTTTCCTTCCCTCCCTTCCTCCCTCCCTCCCTTCTTTCCTTCCTTCCTTCCCTCCTTCCTTCCTTCCCTCCCTCCCTCTCTCTTTTCTTTCTTTCTTTCTCTCTTCCTTCCTTCCTTTCTTTTCTTTTCTCTTCTTCTTCCTCTCCTTCTCCTTCCTTCCTTCCTTCCTTCCCTCCTTCCTTCCTTCCCTCCTTCCTTCCTTCCCTCCCTCCCCCCTCCCTCCCTCCCTCCCTCCCTCCTTCCTTCCTTCCTTCCTTCCTTCCTTCCTTCCTTCCTTCCTTCCTTCCTTCCTTCCTTCCTTTCTTCCTTCCTTCCCTCCTTCCCTCCCTCTCTCCCTCTCTCTCTCTCCTTCCTTCCTTCCTTTGTTCCTTCCTTCCTTCCTTCCTTCCCTCCTTCCTTCCTTCTTCTTCCCTCCCTCCCTCCTTTCTTTCTTTCTTTTCTTTTTTTGTCAAGGTCACTGTTGCCTAAGCTGATGTGCAGTGGTGCCATCATAGCTCATTGCAGCCTCCAACTCCTAGGGTCAATGGATTCTCCCACCTCAGCTTCCTGAGTAGCTAAGACTACAGGCACACACTACTGTGCCAGGCTAATTTTTTCCATTTTGTTTTTTGACACGGGTTTGTTCTGTTGCCCAGCTGGAGTGCAGTGGTGTGATCACAGCTCACTATAACCTTGACCTCCAGGGCTCAAGTGATCCTCCCACTTCAGTCTTCTGAGTAGCTGGGACCACAGGTGTGAGCCACCATGGATGGCCTATTTTATTTTATTTTATGATGGAGTCTTGCTCTGTCACCCAGGCTGGAATGCAGTGGTGTGATCTCAGCTCACTACAACCTGTGACTCTGGGGTTCAAGCGATTCTCATGCCTCAACCTCCCAAGTAGCTGGGATTACAGGTGTGCACCACCATGACTGGCTAATTTTTGTATTTTTTAGTAGAGATGGGGTTTCACCATGTTGGCCAGGCTGGTCTTGAACTCCTGACTGCAGGTGAATCACCCGTCTTGGCCTCCCAAAGTGCTGGGATTATAGGCATGAGCCACTGTGCCTGGCCCCCAATTTTATTTTTTGTAGAGACAGGGTCTCCCTATGTTAAACAGGCTGGTCTTGGACTCCTGGGCTCAAATGATCCTCCCTCCTTGGCTTCTCAAAGTGCTGAGATTATAGGCATGAGCCACTGTGCCTGGCTCCTAATTTTATTTTTTGTATAGACAGGGTCTCCCTATGTTGAACAGGCTGGTCTCAGGCTCCTGGGCTCAACTCATCCTCCCTCCTTGGCCTCTCAAAGTGCTGGGATTACAGGTGTGTACCACCATGCCCAGTCCATATCTTTTTCTTTTTCTTTCTTTTTTTTTTTTTTTGTTACAAAGTCTTTCTCTGTTGCTCGGGCTGGAGTGCAGTGGCGCGATCTTGGCTTACTGCAACCTCTGCCTCCCGGGTCCAAGTGATTCTCCTGCCTCAGCCTCCCGAATAGCTGGGATTACAGGCATCCACCACCATGCCCAGCTATTTTTTTTTTTCTGTATTTTTAATAGAGATGGGATTTTACCATGTTGGCCAGGCTGGTCTTGAACTCCTCACCTCCAGTGATCCATCCTCCTTGGCCTCCCAAAGTGGTGGGATTACAGGTGTGAACCACCACGCCTGGCTGCCAGTCCCTTTTTTAACCTTCTTTGTAACACCTTCAGTGTGGAAGACACGATAATCAGTACTTATATATTGAATAAATAGGTCCTTACCTTTACCATAATAATTTTCCTTCCTTTTTAACTACTATAATATTGCAGGGCAACATCAAATATATAGTGCTCCCCTTTCTGCATTTATGTTCATATAAATCAGTTGATTAAAAAAATTTCACTTATAAAGTATGGCTGTGGATGCCACTTCTGGCACCTATTTGTAGTTGAGAAGTCATGGGACCATTATGTCTCCTGCCCCATATTAGTCTAAGAAATTATTGACCTGGTGTGGTGACTCACACCTGTAATCCCAGCACTTTGGGAGGCTAAAGAGGGCAGATCACTTGAGCCTAAAAGTTTGAGACCAGCCCGGGCAAGATGGTGAGACCCCGTCTTTACAGAAAGCTGAAAAATTAGCTGAGCGTGGTGATGCATACCTGTGGCCACAGCTACTTGGGAGGCTGAGGTGGGAGAATTGCTTGAACCCAGGAGACTGAAGCTGCAGTGAGCTGTGTTCATGCCACTGCACTCCAGTCTGGGTGACAGAATGAGACCCTATTTCAAAAAAAAAAAAATTTCATCATTTAATTCAAACATTGAAGTTTTTATTCTTTGTTTTGTTTTTGTTTTTGAGAGCCTTTGCCACTGGCGCCACACGGCAAAGATATTGTGAAGCTATCTTTATTTTTAATTTCTGGGTATGTTACAATTTTTTGGATGAAAAGAACATGGTGAATAATGCCTTGTATTGGCACTCAATATGTATTTGTTAATTCATTTTGGACTTAATTAATGCAGAATATCTATAGCACTCCTTCTGATGTTAAAGGGCAAACCATGAGGGGATACAAAGCTGAATAGATATGGTGTGGTTATAGAGGAGCTTAAAGTATAATTTTGGAGATAAGAAACACACATAAAACATAACTTGCAATAAAACTCTATGTCAATCAAACGCTCTAGCTATAAATTGTGAGATGCAGTAAATCTCTTTGAGGGAAAATAATAATCCTTAGGTTCTAACAATGGGGCATTTGTATGAGGTTTATTATTTAAGACATACAACATTATACATATATTTATATGCACAAGATAAGACAGAGGAAGAGGTAGGGAGGGAGACAAAGAGAGGAATGTTTTGATTAAATAACAGGCTATTGAGTCACGTTTCCCGAGTTTAAATCCCACTTCTGTTACTGGCTGTGTGACCTTGGGCACAGTTTTTTAATCTCTTTAATTCTCGGTTTTTGGTGAAATGTCAATAAGAACTAGCTTTCTTCATGGTATTATTGTAAATATGAAATAAGATGAATATAAAGTACTGGACACACAACTCATATGCACGGAACTTTAAGGTTCTTTTGTTTTGTTTTGTTTTTTTTGAGACAGGGTCTCCCTGTGTTGTCCAGGCTGGAGTGCAGTGGTGCGATCATAGCTCCCTGCAGCCTCAAACTCCTGGGCTCAAGTCATCCTCCTGGCTCAGCCTTCTGACTAACTGGAACTACAGGTGTGCACCACCATGCCTGGCTAATTTAAAATTTTTTAGAGACAGAGTCTCCTTTGGGAGCGCGAGGCAGGTGGATTAATTGAGGTCAGGAGTTCAAGACCAGCCTGACCAATATGGTGAAACCCAGTCTGTACTAAAAATACAAAAAATTAGCAGGGCATGGTGGCAGGCGCTTGTAGTCCCAACTACTGGAGAGACTGAGACAAGAGAATTGCTTGAACTTGGGAGGTGGAGGTTGCAGTGAGCTGAGATCGTGCCACTGCACTCCAGACTGGGCAATAGAGTGAGACTCCATCTCAAAAAAAAAAAAAGAAAAATAAAATAAAGAAATAAAAAAAGAGTCCCACTATGTTGCTCAGGCTTGAATTTTAAGTATTAATATCTAATATTTGCTGAACACCTGCTGTGTCAGGCAGTGTTCAAGGTTTTATTATCATTATTATTAATTTTATTTCATTTTATTGTTTTATTGAGACAAGGTCTTGCTCTGTTGCCTAAGCTGGAGTGCAGTGGTGTGATCACTGCTCACCGTAGCTTCAATCTTCTGGGCTCAAGTGATCTCCTACCTCAGCCTCCCAAGTGGCTGGGACTACAGGCATGTACCACCACACCTGGCTAATTTTTAAATTTTTTATAGAGATGGGGGTTTTCCATGTTGCCCATGGTTTGTCTTGAACTCCTGGGCTCAGGTGATCTGCCCACCTTGGCCTCCCAAAGTGCTGGGATTACAGGCATGAGCCACCGTACCTGGTCATTATTGTTTATTATCTTGTTCAATCCTCTCAGCAATCCTTGAGTCGGTGTTTGTTTCACAGATGAACTAACATATGTGACTCTTTGCACAATGGTACCCATGTGAGTAGCTTTTTCTCAGTAAATTACTCAATTGTTCATTAATTGAATTGTGCAAATGACATGAGTTACATATCTAACGTACTGAGCACAAAAATACTGGCATGTTAAACCGAGTGCAGCCCTCATGTTTGTTGTCATGCGTTTGCACATGCCTGGTGCCTCTCCCATTTCGGAAGTGGGGCAGAGAACCCAGGGGAACAGTCTGAGGTAGGCTCTGGATTTGGGGCAAAGGCTGCCATTGTCATCTAATGACAGTGCTCCACAGTTACAGCTGCAGTTGCTGGAAAGCAGCTTCTCCCTTGTAATTAACCGTTTGGCTGCTGAGCCTAGGGTAGCTTTGAAAGACACCCAGGTGACAGCAGGGTGCCTGTGGTCCCAGACTGTGGAATTACACGGAGTCAAGAGCTAAATAGCCTCTCCCATCTACTCATTTTCTCTTAAATTACATGTGATTAGGAATATAATTACCACTCCTTACTCTTCCCCCTTAAAACACTATTTTCCTTTCTTCACACAGCGCTTTGATAGGGGAAAAACAAACTAAGGTTGTGCTCAGCGGTGGGAAAGGCTGAGGATGGGAGCGGGAAGCCAGGCGGTGACAGAGGGGATGGAGCCCACCCTCTGAGGCACTGGCGAGCTTGGAAGTTCAAAAACAAAAAAATCCAAGGGCAAGAGTGGTAATTAGAAAATGTATGCAAAACGCTTTGATTATTGAAATCGTACCTGCCTAGGGGTCCTGGGAGAGCCTGAAATGATATGTGTGCTCACGTTAGAATTATAAAGCTCAGCTGTTGATCTTCTTATTTTGGGAATGTCTATCCCTCTAATTATTTACAGTCCAAATGATTAAAAAAAAAAAAAAAGAGCAGAGAGCAACAGACGAGTCCAAATTGCTGTGTTTAAAGGAGCAGGGCTGTCTGTTTGCGTGGGGCTGTCTCCCTGTAATGAGAACCACCGCTGGGAGCTGTTTAGACAAAACCGACTCAGCGCTCCGGAGCCGCGCGGGCCTCCAAATGCAAAGGTTTGTTCTGCTGGGGCAGCATCTGTCGCGAAAGCAGCGGCGGGGAGGAAGCGCAGAGCTGTGTTTTGAATTAATGGGTTCAGCTTCATGTTGAGCACAAGTGGGAGGCTATTTCAGAGAAACCTTCCCAGGCCGGCCGTCACTGATGTGGCAAACTCAGCCTGTGGGCAGACAGGCTGGAAATAGAAACGTCTCCGCGTCGGACGTCCCCTTCCGAGCGCGGGTCCCCTTTGTCCCCCGAGGCCCCGCCGCCCTGTGTCATGTCCCTGCCTCGCTCTGGGTTCACTGGTCCCTGGATGCATGTGTCCCGTCAGCAGCAGCCGAAAGAGGGTGCTCGGGCGGGAGTGGAATCCCTGTGAAATGTGATGAAGAACACAAAATTCTGAGGCAGCTCCAGCTAACATCAGCGCTCGGTCTCCCCGCCCAGGTGAGATCCTCCAAGCGCCTCATCGCACCCGCCCATCCCGGTGCCAGGTGTAAATGCGCCCCAGCAACACGTGGCTCCAGGAGCCGCAGGGATGGTATCCCCTTGCTGCAGAAGACTCAGCCACGTGAGGTCAATGTTCATTTCCGCAGAGGTGCCTCTCTCTGGGGGGCCTATATGCAAACCCATCTAAGAGGGGCTCGCTGAAGAATGGGCGTTATTAAAGATAGCTTAGCTCGAGCAGATTTCCTCACGTCTCTAAGCGACTCGGAGAGGACTTACACCAAAGGCATTTCGCTGTTGCATTGATTTCTTAATTAAAAAATATCTTTATTTTTCCTTTGGCCCAGGCTGAATGACCTTGGAATTTCTTGTTAAAGTACTGGGTGGGGGAGGGGGCGGCGTTCAGAGCGTTGAAATCGCTTTTCTCAGATAACTTGAAAGAGACCCCCAACTTCTTGATGACTACATGGACAGATGGATTCCTTATTTGCAAAATCTTGAGTGTTTCTGACTTGTTCTGGAGAAGGAGTAGCAGATGCAGTCAATACAACCCAGGCACATGAGTTAATTTTCCAAGTTGATGAACTTGGCCGCATTTCTACATCATTAAGGCTCCCCTTTGATACTTGAAGAATTAATTCCCGTCCCCCACCTCCCACCATGTAAAACATCTACACAGATTATTTTTTACTGTTGTTGCTATTAAGGGAAATTTTTTGACCTAGTAAATTTAAAATCCAAAGGAGTGATATGATAGTGTATACGTAAGATACAAAGAATTCTCTATGATACAGTTGTATTAATCCATATTCTCAACTGTGATGAGGAAATACATAAATCCTTCCATTTTTCCCCCCATACAAAGTCATGTTTTTTGTTTGTTTGTTTGTTTTTGAGACGGAGTTTTGCTCTTGTTGCCCAGACTGGAGTGCGATGGTGTGATCTTGGCTCACCGCAACCTCTGCCTCCTGGGTTCAAGCGATTCTTCTGCCTCAGCCTCCCAAGTAGCTGGTATTACAGACATGCACCATCATACCTGGCTAATTTTGTGTTTTTAGTAGAGATGGGGTTTCTCCATGTTGGTCAGGCTGGTCTCGAACTCCCAACCTCAGGTGATCTGCCTGTCTTGGCCTCCCAAAGTGCTGGGATTACAGGCATGAGACACTGTGCCTGGCCTAACAAAGTAATTTTTTTGTTTTTACTTTTTTGCCTTTTTTTTTTGAGACCGGGTCTTGCCCTGTTGTCCAGGCTGGAGTGTAGTGGCGTGATCATAGCTCACTGCAGCCTTGACCTCCCTGGCCAAGAGATCCTCCCACCTCGGCCTCCTGAGTATCTGAGACTATAGGCACATGTCACCACACCTGGTTAATTTTCAAATTTTATTTTTAGTAGAGATGAGGTTTCATTATCTTGCCCAGGCTGGTCTTGAGGTCCTGAGCTCAAGCGGTCATCCCACCTCAGCCTCCCAAAGTGCTGGGACTCTGGGCGTAAGCCACCACATCCAGCCTGTAATATTTTTGGTATTTATACAGTGTCATGCTTTGCAAAGAGCAATCATATTTAATAATTTAACTTCTTGCCTTCCTGCTTAATCCTTTGGAAAAGTTGGGCTGCTTATGTGGTAAATTCCAGTTTACAGGTGGGCAAGATTGTTGCGTGCTTGTTACCCTCACGTGGGCCAATGGAAAAGAGGCTGGAAACCACCTATTGATTGTGTCTAATGTGTGCGTATTTCCACTGACCTGTGTTGCCAACCCTGACACAGGCCAGGCTGTGAACCAATGATACCTGAGATCAGTAGCAGCTCTTCATACAGTGGGTGTTCTTGCCAGACTGACAGTCTGTTAAAGGCAGATGTAATGGCTGGATGCAGAGTCTAGCCAAGAAAGGATTTTGCAGCACTGTATGTTGGTTCATTAAATATTTGGCATAAGAGAAAGTTAAACTTACAAGATGGTAGCATTACCTCTTGGGACTAGGCAGAAATTTAATGGATTTTTGCAGAATACCAGAAAGTGGAAAATTTGAAGTCAAATTTGATTTATATATTGAATTTTAAGACTGATAGAATATAACTTTTTCTCTCTTTCCTCCTATCTTTCCCCAAAACCAAATTAAAATGAATGACGATAACAACTGGGCTTTTAAATTATGGTAAGGTCTATGGCCATACCACCCTGAAAATGAACCCTATCTTTTCTGATAAATGAGGGTAAGAAGGAAACAGATTAAGACATTATATTGGGAACTTTAGACTTAGGACATTGAAGAATCCTACAAAATGGACCAAAAGATAATTCTATCATCTGATCAACTTCAGGCCTGGCCTTATGTAGAGAGGCACACTCTTTCCATTAATATTTTATGGTGGATTTTTTTTTTTTTTTTTTGAGATGGAGTCTTGCTCTGTTGCCTAGACTGGAATGCAGTGGCGTGATCTCAGACCACTGCAACCTCTGCCTCCCAGGTTCAAGTGATTTTCCTGCCTCAGCCACCCAAGTAGCTGGGATTACAGGCGTGTGCCACCACGCCTGGCTAATTTCTGTATTTTTAGTAGAGATGGGGTTTCACCATGTGGGTCATGATGATCTTGAACGTCTGACCTCAAATGATCCACCCGCCTTTGCCTCCCAAAGTGCTGGAATTACAGGTGTGAGCCATCATGCCGAGCCAATTTTGAATTAAAAAAAAAAAATGTTCTGGGCTGGGCACGGTGACTCATGCTTGTAATTCCAACTCTTTGGGAAGCTGAGGCAGGGGGATCACTTGCGGCCAGGTGTTAGAGACCAGCCTGGACAACACAGAGAGATAACAACAAATTTCAAGAAATTAGCAGGGCATGGTGGCACGCAACTGTAGTCCCAGCTACTTGGGAGACAGGCAGGAGGATTGCTTGAGTCCCGGAGTTCAGGTTACAGTGAGCTATGATCACACCACTGCATTCCTGCCTGGGAGATGGAGCCAGACCCTGTCTCTAAGAAAATAACAAACAAACAAAATTTCTAGATAGTTGCATTATGCCCCATTTACTGGGAAGTAATTTTATCCTCATTTACATAATTTAGAGGTAAAAATCTGACCCTTTCCCAGCCCCTTTCAATCCACCCGCCCCACATAAAGGTTTACCTAAACACAGCCATCAATCGCAGCCCTCCCTTCAGGAATTTCGAGTCTTTTATTCATAAGAGAACAGAGTATATTGTGGCAAATATGAACTCAGGTCAATCCACCATAATGTCTGTGTTTGTAGGATTTGGGCAATCAAGTAAAGAAAATGCCGGCATGGATGATTAGAAATGGCGTGTAAGCTCTGTATTCAAAACCAGGCATCAAGGGATAATTGTGACAGGGGCCAATTCAGTAGAAAATGATTTTTCTTGTGCCACATATTGTTGTCAAAGGATAATTTGGCTTTTGTTTTGTTTTTCCCCAGGGGGACCCCGTGAATGTGAAGATATTTGGAAAGTCTTCACCACAGAATGTGATTTCAGGAATGATGGAACAATAAATGAGAAGCTGGTATTAATAATCTGTGGGTTTTAAATTTTATACCATTCAAAGATGTGAGGACTAGTCATTTCATGTATCCTACAAAGTGGAACACGCTGTGGGACACACAGATTCATGATTCATGAGGAGGTTGGGCGTCTGACGGTAAACATCCACACACACTTTGAGTCTTTGGTGCTTACTGGCTGTACTATGATAATACTTCACTAATTCAAACCTCTCAAAGCCAGATTTTGGAATGAAACAGGTTGAAAAGACTGAGAGCTGAAGCTTGCCTTTGCATAGTTGACAGCCTTTGCTCAGCAAACTAAGAGTTGCTCATAGTTGATGACCAAAGAAAATGCACAGGATTTGAGAAGCACAAAATAGGGAGGAAGAAACCATCAAGAGGCTAAATATGATTTATTTAAGTTCCCCATCAGAACAGACGTCCTACAGGCCTCAACAGAGCAATGTGTTATTAACCCACAGTGTGCTCTAGAAAGGGCATGTCAGCTGCCTTTCTTGTCAAATATTGTCTTCTTCCAGAGCACCCCACTCATTCATCTTTTGTAAAGATCAGAATTGGAATAAAACTGTGTGAAGAGATTTTTGTTTTTGTTTTTAGAGACAGAGTCTCACTCTGTCATCCAGGCTGGAGTGCCTTGGTGTGATCTTGGCTCACTGCAACCTCCGCTTCCTGGGTTCAAGCAATTCTTGTGCCTCAGCCTCCCAAGTAGCTGGGATTACAGGCACGCGCCACCATGCCTGATTACTTTTTGTATTTTTAGGAGAGATGGGGTTTCACCATGCTGGCTAGGCTGGTCTTGAACTCCTGGCCTCAGGCGATCTGCCCACCTCGGCTTCCCAAAGTGCTGGGATTACAGGCATGAGCCACTGTGCCTGGCCCGCAAAGAGATATTTTAATAAAGACGGTACAGGAAAGTTTCTCCATTATCTCAGTTAAGAAGGAAAGAAGGAAGAGGAACAGTTTTTTTTTTCCCATGGGCAGACAAAGTATTTCTGCTAGGAAGACTTCAGACTACATCTCTCCACTTGTCCTAAGTAGGCCTTCTCTCCACAACTACTTACCCTTGCAACTATCTGATTGTAGAGATGGAGTGATGAACTTCGACTCCGTGTCCCCACCAAAATCTCATCTTGAATTGTAATCCCCACGTGTGGAAGGAGGGAAGTGATTGGATCATGGGCACAGTTTCCCCCACGCTGTTCTTGTGATAGTGAGTTCTCACAAGATCTGATGGTTTTATAAGTGTCTGGCGTCTCCTCTGCTTGCACTTCTCTCTCCTGCTGCCATGTGAAGAAGGTCCTTGCTTCCCCTTCACCTTCCACCACGATTGTAAGTTTCCTGAGGCTTCCCCAGCCATGCGGACCTGTGGGTCAATCAAACCTCTTTCCTTTATAAATGGCCCAGTCTTGGGCATGTCTTTATGGCAGTGTGGAAACGGACTCATACATAGAGCATGATGAATATGGCTGAAACATTCTGCATCTTGTACTTTGATAAATTTACCTGTATGGCAGGCAGAATGTTCTCTGGTCGGACCAGTACTTGGACCAAAAGAGTGAAGAGGAAAGGCTCACCTGGGCCCTGACATCCTGGGACACACAGCTTGGTGGCCTGGTGGCCTGGCTTATGCCTGCCTCCTCCCCAGAGGTCATTTGTTATGGTGTCTGGTCTCGTTCTCAAGAAATGTAAGTGCTGTAGTGAAAAGCTGCTGCCCAATGCACACCAGTGTGTGTGCTTTCAGGCTGACGCTGGACACACCAAGGCCATGAAGTGTCCTGAACAGTAGAGTGTTCAGCACAGCACCGAGAAGCCAGAGACTTGGTCTCCAACAAGACTTCTGAACATTTGGAACATGGTTCCCTTCCCTCTTATGGCATAAATGGGACTGCAAAATGCTTCTCAATGAATACGTGCCACTTTTCCTCCTTTGCTCTGTGATGGCAGTATTTCATGGAAAAGGATCCCGTCGTATCATATATTTATGTGGATCTTTCCAGTGAATTAATTGTGCAAATTCCTTCTCTGCTGGAGAAATAAATACTTCTGCAAAACATTTACCTTACCTAATAGTCTAATCTTAGGCCAACAGAGCAGCAACATCTGCCAAACAGAAAACCCCTGATAATCCAGGATTAAATAACATTAATATTATTTTTTGGAGGCCAGCAGGATTGTCCAGAGGACCAGTGATAATAAGGATTTATGAGGGAGGAGAGACCCTGCAGAAGATAACACTATAATAACATTCTGTGTTTATATTGGGCAAAGGGGCAGGACACATTTTCAACAAGCACAAACTTCAGGATGGAAAATGTTAATACCTTGTATTTGTAGAGTGCATTGTAGCTTATGAGTCAACTTCATACATGATAACTCATCTCTTAGGCTCCTCATCTGTGAAGGTTCCTGGGTGGGTGTTATTCTCATGCATGAGACAATGGAGGTTCAGCAAGGTGAAGTGACTCAGCTAGTAGGTAGGAGGAGAACTGGGTTTAAAATCTAGGTGTTTAGGTTGGTCACGGTGGCTCACACTTGTAATCCCCGCGCTTTGAGAGGCTGAGGCAGGAGGATCACTTGAGGTCAGAAGTTCAAGACCAGCCCCAGCAACATAGTGAGATCACCATCGCTACTAAAGATTTTAAAAATACATATTTTGCCAGGTGTGGTGGTGTATACCTGTAGTCCCAGCCATTTGGGAGGTCAAGGGTGGGGGGGAGGATTGCTTGAGCCCAGAAGTTAAAGGCTGTGGTGAGCTATGATTACACCACTGCATTCCAGCTTGGGTGACAGAGTGAAACCCTGTCTCTAAAAAAGTAAATAAATTCAAATAAAATAAAATCTAGGCCGGGTACAGTGGCTCACGCCTGTAATCCCAGCACTTTGTGAGGCCGAAGTAGGTGGATCACAAGGTTAGGAGTTCGAGACCAGCCTGGCCAATATGATGAACCCCTGTCTGTACTAAAAATACAAAAATTAGCCGGGAGAGGTGGCAGGTGCCTGTAGTCCCAGCTATTCAGGAGTGTGAGGCAGGAGAATTGCTTGAACCCGGGAGGTGGAGGTTGCAATGAGCTGAAATCATGCCGTTGCACTCCAGCCTGGGTTACAGAGTGAGACTGGTCTCAAACAAAAAACAAAAAACAAACAAAAACAAAACAAAACAAAACAAAATCTAGGTGCTTTAATTCCTACTTCAATATTATTTTTCCTACATTTCCAACAATAAGGAGTGTCTAGAATGGATTGGTGATGCTGAATGAGTCTCTGGTTAAGATTTTCAAAATAAAATCTGTAGCATAGAATGAAACATTGAGTTTGTCCACAGGAACACGGCTCCAAGGAAACGGGACCTTTTCCTTGAAACATCTCTGGAATGTTCACTTGCCCGAAGAAGGAACATCTCTGTTGCTTGTACATTAAAGAAAAGAAGAAAAGGAAAGAGGAGGCCGGGCGCGGGGGCTCACGCCTGTAATCCCAGCACTTTGGGAGGCCGAGGCAGGCGAATTACCTGAGGTCAGGAGTTCAAGACTAGCCTGGCCAACATGGCGAAACTTCATCTCTACCAAAAATACAAAAATTAGCTGAATGTGGTGGCACAATTACAGCCTGTAATGCCAGCTACTTGGGAGGCTGAGGAATGAGAATCGCTTGAATCTGGGAGGCAGAGGTTGCAGTGAGTCAAGATCACGCCATTTCATTCAAGCCTAGGCGATAAAAGTGAGACAGAAAAAAAAAAAAAAATGGCAAGATCGGGTGGTAAATAAGAGTCGATCCAGATTCAGAGCTAAAGTCCTTTTGAGAATTTTCTCCCTGAGGCAGCAGCTGAAGATTCACTTTGGGGTTACCCTGTTCAGCAAGGGGGCTCTGAGGAGTGCAAGGGTGTGGGGACTTCTAAGAATGTGTTTTTTGAGTCAAAATAGAAACTTTTCCTTACATTCTGACTCACAGGGAATTAGAAGGTAGTGCATGGATTAGACGAAAATGCCTTAGTTAAGAATTTAATCCTGTTAGGCAACAGTAAGTCACTTTTTTTAAGGCTCTTGTGCCAAAAAGGAGAAAGGAAAAAAAAGTGGCATCCATATTTTGTAGGAGATAATTGTTTCTAAAGAACTGCTTGCCTGAGGCCTCTTGAAGGCTACTTTTTCTTCCAGGTTGCATGAGTTTCTCTTCTAAAGAGAACAATGGGTTTTAAATTGGGGGTGTGAGAGGTGCCTTGGCTAGGGCTTACCAGCAGGGCTGTTTTGGTTCCAGGTGATGCCCGGGGATGGAGCTGGAAGAGATGAGAGGGAGCCAGGAGTGAGGGACTCTGGCTTCCTATCCTGTTGTCAGAGTTCAGTTATGCAGAGGAATGAGACAGAAAAGGAAACCAAATGGTTACACTGACTTCGACTTTGTAGACTTGACAGTCGATTAAAACCCCTCTGCCTCTTTTTCCTTTCCTTTCCTTTCCTTTCCTTCCCCCTTTCCTTCTCCCTCTCCTTCTCCTTCTTCTTCTTCTTTTTTTGACAGAGTCTTGCGCTGTTGCCCAGGCTGGAGTGCAGTAGTGAGATCTCAGGTCACTGTAACCTCTGCCTCCTGAGTTCGAGCATTCTCCTGCCTCAGTCTCCTGAGTAGTTGGGATTACAGGCACCTGCCACTGCCCAGCAAATTTTTGCATTTTTAGTGGAGATGGGTTTTCGCCATGTTGGTCAGGCTGGTCTCGAACTCCTGACCTCAGGTGATCCACCCGCCTCAGCCTCCCAAACTGCTGGGATTACAGGCATGAGCCACGGTGCCTGGCCTGTTTTCTTTTCCTCCCTCCCTCCCTTCCTCCCTCCCTCCCTCCCTCCCTTCCTTCCTTCCTTCCTTCCTTCCTTCCCTTCCCTCTTTCTTTCTTTCTTTCTTTTTCTTTCTCTTTCTTTCTTTCTTTCTTTCTTTCTTTCTTTCTTTCTTTCTTTCTTTCTTTTTCTTTCTTTCTTTCTTTCTTTTCTTTCTTTCTTTTCTTTCTTTCTCTTTCTTTCTCTTTCTTTCTT